CAGCCTAAGGTGTGACTTCCAAAGAAAAACGGAAGGCCATAGTTCGAGATAACTTGCGAGACGTCTGGCTGCCCACGTTCTAAGATGTCAGCCAGAGGTGTGGTGAAAATCCTTGGCCTCAAAAACGGCTTTTGCCAGTGTCCAGCTTTTAAATGTGTCCGGCCGGTTTTGAAAGACACCACACCCGCCGGCGGTCCTCAACGACGTCCTCAGAGGACTGAGCAATGGCGGTTTGACTAGTTGAGTTCTCACCAAAAGTAAACTACAAAGTCAAGAATTTTTGAAGCCTTGTGGGCTCGCCTAGAACTCATCATTAGTAAAGGGAAGTCAACGTAATCGGATTCAGGAACTTTTTGGGTCTTTAAGCTCTGATTGGTCCAAAAATCAAGGCGGAAACGATATCTGTAAAGAGAGTGCAGCTCTAATCAAGCGATGCGCTGCAGAGAATCGACTCAAGCAACTGGCATACTAACTTATTGTCGGAGCGATGAATCCGTGCCAAAGTTGGTGAAAGATGACAAAAGACAGAGTCGAGCACGAAGGAATTGACATCGAAATACATGAAAACCACTCCTGAGCAACAGCTGGCGATGTCTTAACATCCAGCTGCGTCGTAATCCCAGGAAGCTTCAATCGCCTGTTACCCTTCTCGAAATCTCGAAGAGCTACAAGGTTCTACAGTCGCTACAAGTCTCTTGTCTTCAGTCGCTTCCAAATTCTTCTTTGCTTCTTCCATTTAACGGTAAAGATGCCAATCAGAAGTGCTTCCTTGAACAGTGGGAAACTAAAAGCACATCCGTGACGTCAGTCAAGACTGCGTGGCGCGAGTCTGACAACGGTACATCAGTTTGCAGCCCGTTTGCAGCACCGCCTGGCATTCAAAAGGATGAGATTTTGACATTTTTAGATGCCCCATTCTTGTGGCTACCCGTCAGGTTGTCCTTTGCTCAGTGGCGCATCTTCGTCGCAGCTTGCGGAAAGCCAGAGTAGTTGAGCTGCGCCGAGGTCAGTTTCGGCTCCCAAACTCTTTAGGCTTGTCAATCGTGGCAATATTTGTTCTTGCTGCGAATGACAGTGCCTTTAGGCAGAAAGATGTCGCATCCAAAAGAATCGGAAAGCGGGGGCAATCAACCAGAAATGAGGGAGAAGCACTTTCCGGAGCCGGAGAGAAAAGCTCTGCATAACCCGCTTGCATGAGGACGTCGTCACAACTGATCACACCTACTAGCATGAAGCAACGGATACAGATTCTGAGTCACGGACACGCCATCAGATTGAGGTTCCGTTGAGGCCAACTCGTCGGTGGTCTTGTTGACCCCGGTCGCACATCTCTCTTCCTCGGCAGATTCACGTATGCGCCGACTTGCATCAAGACTGATCTAATGTCAGTCGCGGTCAGTTATTGCATTGCTTTTGAGGGTTCAAAGCGGTGAAAGCCTCTCAAACTTTTGTCCTTCTTTCAAAATCGCTACCGAAACACCGCCCAAGGAAAAGAGCCATCCAAAAAAGGCGACAAGCGGACCTAAAACGTCATCAGCGCAGAAGTTGCTCTTGACCCGGCCAGAAACTTGAGACAGGGTCTGGCAAGATCAGTGCCAGGTCCTCCCATCTTCGACGTCATTCCAAAACTTTGTACGTAGAGATGGCAGTATCGAGAAAGTCGAGCTGAGTCTTACGTTTTAACAGAAATACCGGAGCAGTAATCGGATTCGAGCCGTTGGGTCAAGATGCTCGTCGACACATCCTGAGAGAAACCTTTGATATCGTAGTAAGACGCATGCCCAACTTGAAGAATACGATCCATAAACTGAGAAGAGGGTTAAGGCAAAGCTGTACAAAGCCAGGACGTCAAAATGTCCTATACATATGGGGCACCGGTGAGAAGGGGAAAAGAGTGCTGTATGTAGCCTCAGACCAGGAATTTAAGGATTAAAAGCTTGTCGCAAAGCTTATGTTGACGTGCGGAAAGCCTGGAACTGAAGTTAGTTTGTTTGGTGATAGATGTTGGGCCAGAGTGTGAAAGGAATGATTCGAAAGTCCGTGGCGTCAACGCAGTACCGCCCAGTGACGTGGGTTCTAGCCCTTTTGCTAAAACGTGATTACTAGACCCGATGAAACCCTTGTCATTGCCAAGGACTGAAGGTGTTTGAGCGCCTCCCTTCTGCTTTTACAGTACGTATCGAAGCAGAGCTTTCAGAGCTTTCAGCGGACCGACATTAACCCGTCAATTTGACATTACAGGTCTCAAAATGTCCAAAGTGCGCTCGAAACATCTACGAGGAGCGAATGAGTGGCTACTATGCCATCAACTCCGAGTCCGACCCAGACGGCAGGTCTTTCAAACAACCAACCCGGCAAAGTCTCCTTTGCGAGGGCTTTCAAAGCTGCCCGGGCGTCTGCAGTCTCACTTCTCCTAGAATTTTGTACTCCTTGCTTTCAGAACCGATGGGTGCCGAAGTCGAGCTTGAAAAGCGTGCCCGAAGATATCACGGCCCGATCTTTCACAAGCAATGCACGAGGTTGACCTTGATTTGACCGTCCTTTTGCATCTTGACACGTGCCCCGGCAAGCTTCACTTTGCCGGGCCAAGTTCAGCCTTTTTCGTCCTTGAAAGCTTTCAAGGCCGTATTTTCTGACCGTTCAAAGTAGCGTTAAAATTGCTAACTTCGAGCTTTCCAAACTTTAGTTGCGCGTGCGCATCACTGTCAACACTTCGGGAGAGAAATGATGCTGACACACGCAGCGACACACGAGCGCTTTCAATTGGGCTTTAAGTACAATTCGGGTAGTCGGTTCTGTCGGATTCTCATCCGAATCTGGTGGATGCACCAGGACAAGATATTGCTCTGCTGATACTGGCATCTTAGCATCGAGAAAAGCGGGAAAAGTGCGGGCAAAGAAGAAACGACGTCAGATTGACGCAGCGATAACTTCGAGCCATAGGACTGGTTCTTACACTGAGTTCTAGAACTTTCAAGCAAACTTTGAGAGCAAAGGAATGGAAAAGCTTACAGGTAACAGGTCGACGAATTGCTAACAGAACATACATAATGTACTGTCTTGAACAACAGCGACGGCGTGGCCCTAGTCTGCGCATCATAACGCGTCTTTATTAACAGGTGTCTGCACAAACGTAATCTTCGACGGCCCACTATGCGAAGTAGGAGCGACATGGGTCGCAAACCTGAACCCCGCATTCAGATCCCCTATAATGGCAAACCTGAAAGCAAAGCGCTGTGTGCAGCTACAAATAGAGCATATGGTGCTGCTCATTCAAAGACAGCATTGATTGAAGAAGCAAGCCGGGGCCGCTGCGGAGGTTCGCGGCCCTTCGCTCCAGCGCGCAGCATTTTTTCCCCGCGGATGTTTAGCTCATATCACAATCACATTGCTGCCACAGGATTTCTCTGAAAAGCAGTCCAATATGGGACTTGGAAAAGCACCTGATTGCAGATCGATCTGCGGAAAGCCCACAGCCGTCGAACACCTCAGGGCACCAACCAGATCCTATGCCCACCTTGCGGAGGGTTTTTGAGGCACGCTGATTTGCAAGTAATCGGGGGCTTCTCCCTGGAATCTTGCTGGCCAGGCGGGTCTGAGATCCCGACCAACATGTGCGCCCGCCTCTCCTGAGCGCGGCCGCCCGCGCGGCTGACTGGCGGCTTCAAGCCCTTGCGCATGCGTGCGCGGCCGACTTGCGAGCGCCGCGGCCGCCCGACCGTGGGCGCGTAACTTTGAGATAATATTGAATTATGAGAAGCTTGCATCTCCGCACGCGCCTTCGTTTCCCAAACCATGTCAGCATATTACTTGTACGGAACTTGCGCCTTCAAACGAGTTCTTCAGAAGAAGCTTGGCGGCCCGCGTCCATGAATCAAGAAGACGCGAGAGCGAAACAAGTGGCAAAAAGAACTCGATAGGAGTGCAACGTCAACGCAGCAATTAGAGGCACAAAGGCAGGCGCACGTTTATGCAGTTGTGCCTGATGCATATGGGGAACGTGCGAAACATGTCGCCGACAAGGCATCCGACGTCATGCCAAAGGAATCATGAGCTCACATCACGAAACGGCAGCCAATATAGTTTCGTATAGAACCGGTAGAAAACCGGTACAGGAAGCTGGGCCATACAGGCTTTGAATAGGATTTATGTAGCTCTGCATGGACCTGTAAAGACCTTGTACATGTCCCATAATCTATATGGAAAGCTGACTATGTAGGCGCGGTATAGAGTCTGTATCGTTGGCATACAGTTTTGCATGGGAACTGTACGTATCTCAGTCGGTTCTTCTATATTAGTCTATTTCGAAGCGGCAGTATGACGTATGCCATGAAAATATTATATGAATGATCGGATGTGTGAAGGACATGCTATCCCGGCCCTCAGCCGCGCGAGGTGCGGCACCCAGGCTGGCATGCATGGGGCCGGCTGCATGTTAATTATCCGGCCTAATCATTATACGAACGGACCAAAGACGGGTATACTGCGCATGCATATTTTCCGAGAAACACCATTTGGATACGTGCGTGCCCAACATACCTAGCCCTTAGCTCGCATGTGCAATTGATGCGCGGTGCCTCACCCGGAGCTGCATTAATTACGGCCGGCCATTGTTCGCAACGAATTGTTATGCTTAACTTGCAAGATTCATATTGTACACATAAGATAAACTGAAATGGATCCGACCGCAAGCTAAGACCGAACAAGTTACTCAATCCGGAAGTCTGGGGCCCGAGGCCAATACCGTGTGATTGATGATCTCATTATCCCAGCGTTGAAATCTGGTCTAGTGCTTTTTTCCAAGAAGTGTTGAGCAGGCCGCACATAACGGCGGCCGCTATCCTTGCGAAACAAGGTGACATGTTGGGCAGTAGGTCGTAATCAACATTACTACAGGCGGGCTTATCTTAACTGCTGATCTCTCACGATTACTACGATGATCTCGATCCTCCAGCAACACATACCAAGTCACTGTACCGTTGGTTTCTGATCAGTGACTCTTACACCTTGTTCCCTTTATATCGCTTCTCTGACGACCACTTGAATCTGTTTAAATAGAAACCGCCTTCCCGATTCCAATCCTTCACCAGGTAGACTGTTCGCAGAATGCTTTTCAACTCGATGACGTCATACCACTCGTCTACATGCTGGCCTCTATGAAGGTATTTGGCCCAACTCAGCCGCTTGCATGTAGTTGCGTCCGGCACTCTATAATCCTCAAGATATCTTACAAAGACCAGGTTCCGATTGCGACCCCTCTGATCGGTTAGAGAGAACAATAACCTCACGTTAGCGTACCATTCGCTGCCATCGGCAGCAAGAACGGCAACGTTGCTGTAGTACGGCTTCTTGTGAAACTCCGGATCTGCGTGCGCGATCGACACGTGCTCTTGGAAGCGGCTACCTCTCCCTGGTGCAATGGCGGCGTGCTTTGCAACCCGGATCTGCAACCAGTGTATCAAAGCAATCTGTTCCCGACCCGACGTTGTCAGTCGAAAGGCGCGACAGAATGTCGGCAGTGTTTAAACGGTTGGCCAGGTTTGAAGCAGACGGAAACTATAAAGTATGCACACTAATGAACAAGGCCCAAAGGACGGTGGGCGGTGATCCAGACACCGCAAAGAAAGACCACTCGCTCAGGCCCGGGTAAAGACCGTAGGGTAGCAGATGCAGAATCTTTCTCGCCGTTTCAGATAATCCCGGAGAGCGCCGGCAGAAGCGTACAAAGAAGTACGGACCAATCAGAACAAGAAGAAACGAGTGAGCTTCTAGACAGAGCTCACACAGAACTGGACGGCCAATCGGAATTCAACGGACAGCTTTAGACCTCTGGCTGCACATTCAAGATATCCAAGGACTGACTAGACACCAGCTTAAGCATTGAATGGCATACATACCGACGATTGTGACGAGAAAACAGAGCGGACGATCTTGACCGTAACGTGTTTCTTGAGAAAGGCTGCTACGTGGCACAGCCCGTACGAGGAGTTCCCAGGTGCATCCAGAAAGTCCGGCAATTGTCGCTCTCCCCTAGAACTGAAAGTGGCCATCTAAAGGGTGTTTTAAGTGGACTCACCTCAGAGTTCTGGCAATTCGGAAGATTCTCCAGCAAGGCTGCATCCCCTCGGACACCCTGCAGGCCTCCGGCAAGAAATACACGCGTGCAACGCTCGAGATGCTGCAGGTCGCTGTACTGGTGAGCAATCCGTTTCACGATCGCCTTGCCCGCACGAGACCCCGGGTCTGGAAACCGGGGGTACGTGGCTTGACCCGCTGGTCGGAGCCACTCCCACCGGAGCGGTACTCGAGTTGCTGCCAGGACGTGTTTCTTTTGTCGAGCCGCCTGCGAGAAGGAAGAGCCGGCATTTCAGAAGGTTTCCGTACTTCAACTGTAGCCTGATTTCTCGATTTAAACGTTGAAAACAGTCCAAGTCAGTCCGCAGTCTCCCTTCGGGGCGCCCGGCTGGGCCCCCCGGCTATGCACCAACATACGCGCCAGGCTGTCTGGATCCGTCTGCTTCGGGGGGCTCTAATCGATGCCCGGCTGCCCCCCTCTTTGCACATTACTGGTGGCGCCGAACGGCTGCTTGGGTTTAAGAGACACTGCGATCGTGCAACGGCTTTTTGAAAGCTTGGATTCTGAAAAAGCAAACGGCTTCAAGCCCCTATCTAGATTCTTGACCTTTAAGGGCTGCCCTTGACGATAGCAGATCGGCTGTCAAATGTTGAGATACGGACCTTTTCAGTGGCAGCAAGGGCTGTCACCATAACCCTCCGCTGGATACGGAACCCACGGCGGCCCGTATTGCAGCCCTCCACGTACTCGGCAACATTCTGCCGGCGTTGGTTAAACCGCATAACCTGCGGTCACCAACAAAACGAATCATCAGGAAGAGGTACTTGAGATGACTACCAAGAGAAGTGACTTGTGGAAGTGTGGAAGGGCAATTAACAGTGTCGCCAACTTTTATTTCAAGGAATCAGTGGGCTGCCACCTGCAATCTCGCAAACGTGCAGCTTCCGACCAAAAGGGACGCCAAAAGGTTAATTACAAGATGATCAGTCGCAGCATCTCCGTCGACCAATTTCTTCGTTTCTATCATTCTCTCCTGTCGCTCCTTAGACGCTCATATCTTCGGCCCGGTTAGAGAAAGGCATCTGAACTGGGAAAACGAAAGCGACTAGGAAACACACTGGATGGAAAAAATAAATTTAGCCAGCAGGGAAGCGCAGTTACCTGCTCTCCAGTGTTCTTCTTGTTTGAGGCCTGGTAAGCCTTCTTTGACGTGCGGCCGTGGCTGCCCTCCCCTTCCTCGCAGCTCGTCTCCGAGGTGAGGCCCCGCGCCTGGATGACCTTGGTGTAGAGGGGTATGTGATGGAACTTGGCCGTTTTGAAGTCGGACTTTTGAACGCCGGACAGGAACCGGACAGCCGAGCGACCAAACCTGCAGACGGACAGTCAGATCGACACACCTTTATTCTATAACACAACGTTGGTCACTGAGAACGGAGAGAAGGTTGAATTCGAAAAGCCTCTTGCGTGTCAACAATTTCTGCTGAGAGTACATGCAGTGATCGCTTGATGGAAACGTATGAGAAAGAAACTCTTCATGAAAGTCAGGAGCGGATAACATCTCTTGCCGCATAAGACTCTGTTTTCCGCACCGAAGTTGCAAAAATCCTGCTCGTTTTCTTTTGCTCTAGCTCAGGAAGCAAACACTATCGGTCTTGTGAAGCAACTTCGATTTGTTTCTTAGAAAGCCTACATGCTTAGCAACGGAGCATTGAGTTCATTGGTGGGAGACGAACTTACTTGATGCCCAACTTGTCCGTTTTCCGAAGACTGGCCTTCGTGTGGTACTTGGGCAGATTTCGCCGGGTCAGTTGCATATACCAGTCTAGGAACTGTAGAATGAGCTCCACGAAAGGCTCACGGCCGTTCGCTTGCTTGAAGAGGCCGACGATGGCGAAGACGAAAAGCTGTATCAATAACAAAGCGTGGACGATGAGGAGGAACAAAGAAGAGAGTAATGAGATGGAAAACATGGCTTCACATCTCACCTCATCAAATCTGACATGCCGCCTTTCCAAAACTCGAAGACGACATGAATCATAGATTGGTCAGGGACTGCTCAGCCTGCGTAGCTTTAATCAAGGCACAAAGCAGGAAATGTAGCAACAGGTAGGAATTCCGGAGAGCTTCATTGCTGTCTTTGCCGTTCACGTTGGTGAGATTCAAAAGCCTGGCTTACGAGAATCCACCAACTTGGATACGAGAAAAGACAGCGGGGTTGCCCGAAATCTCGTGTTACCTGCATCATGTTGCGCTGCTCATACCCCTTGTAAGTCTTCTTCTTCTCCATGTAAACGCCCTTCCGCCTTGGCAGACGGAAGCCCGACTCCCGAGGCATGCCTCTCAAACGCGCGTCCACTGTCCGCAGCCTCTTCGCCGCCAACTGCCTTGTATACTGCCCCTTAGCCCAGTCCCGGATGCCGTCGACCAGGTACAACCAGATTCCGAGATCGATACCATGGAGAGTATTGGGGACAAGGGCTCGATAGGAGTCTCGAACATCGTCCGGCAGGTCGAGGCCCTCGTACCAGTTCCACAAGCAGCCCTGCGACAAAAAGCAAATGGTCTAAAGATCGATTGATGCGGCAGTCCAACTTTCGTGCATATCCTGATCGTGGACAAGTTTTGTTGAGTACATCTGACGAGCCTACATCGAAGAGACTCCGCGCAATCTGCATGGACAGCTCGTCTTGATTGCACCATGTATCAAAGCAGGTTTCTCAAGAGCGAAGTTGATGAGCTCAACTGTAGGTGTCCTGGTTAAGGCTTCGTTTTCAAGGGCTCTTGGCTCTCAAGACAGCAAGGCTGAGAAAACACAAGCCAACAAGCACAAAGACCTGACCGCTTTTGCACGCTTCGGATTGGCTGAATCCTTTTGCAGATTTGCCCCCCCAATATACATCAGCTACTAGCATCCTTTTGGACCAACGTGAAAGCAGACAACAGCCTTCCAGGAGCGTTGGAGACGAATGCTATCAAGCTTGCCCTTTCAAACAGAACCGCACCTCGATGGGTAGAGAGATCCCTGCTTCATCGCACGCCTGCGCAACCCTGCCAACCACTCCGGGCTCCTTTCTTCTAGAGCAGCGGTGCATACGGTCACCACCTCCCCCATAAAAGCTTCCGTTCTCTCGGACCAACGACCCTCCAGATCGTTGAGCTCCGCAACCGGAACAAGGCAGACAAGGCATCGTCCAGTCTTCACAACCCCGAGCTTGTAAGCTTTTTGAAGATCACAGCTGTAAGAGTGGAGCCCGGGGTAAACCTTCCGTAGCACGCCCCAGGGATCGCGCATGTAAACACCTCTGCAAAGCATTTCAGGAATGTGAGAAGCAGAATGAAGTTGGAAAATAAGACGACGCACAAACTGATCAAACGATGCAACAGGAAGTGACCTTCAAGGCACCTAGGACAGTTTGTGATGGTACTGTCATTAAACAGGCCGTTTGCAGATAACCCAATTCTTGCAAACCCAATTGGCTTCTACAAAGCAAATGCTTGCCGAGCGCAAGCATATCTGGTTCTACCATCCACTCAAACGGCGGACAAGAGGACAGGCAGGAAATATTCACGGCTAAGGATTCTCAAATCAGTGGCGCTCACCTCGAGCTGGCAGCTTTCAGGACTGATAAGAGCTGGATCTCGCACTGCCACACGAGAGTGGAGCGTCGCTCCTTGAATGCTCTTGAGGAAGCAATGAAACCTGACAACACAGCGTGGTTTGGGTGAACAATCTTCAAGGGCCGCTATTATGAGGAATCAGAGTGCATCACTTGTAAAAGCAATAACATTGTGCAATGCAGCCAACCGTGACATGGCAGCGTGGCTGGTCAGATAGATTGCAGTGCTTGCACTAGCTCTCAGATCAGATCTTACCATACTCTGGAAGCTCTTGGAGCTGCGCCACGATACCCGCGAGAATAGCGAACTCCCCCCGGTGCCTCACGGTCGGACCAATGTTCCTGATGGTAAGCGTTACTGGCCACCCAGTGATGGTCATGTCGCTCGAGACCGCCGTCGGATCGCTGTAGAGCGCAACAGCAGCGACCAGGCCATCGATTCTCTCCTGCACACAAGACCTTGATTTAGAGCAGAAACCGACAAAATCGAGGATAGTAAACAATCAGTTCAGAACTTTTTGTGGCAGTTCGCAAACATCTGCTCCAAACGATGGACGCTCCCCGAGATAGTTCGCCGTCAGGCCAATGACAAAAGGTCCAAGCAAAAGAACCAAGCAAAGGTCCAAGCAAAGAAACTGCTTCCAAGCGGGAGTATGCAATAAAACCAGCATTACAATGAGCAACTTCTTCCGCCACCATGACCACTGCGCTGCAGCAGATTCGCACACAAGTAGAGCGCAAGATTATAGTTTCAATAGATTTACCTGAAATCGGAGCCACCAATCGGCAGATGCCGCATCAGTGATACACCTTTCGCCATCCTTGTTATAGATGGGCCTTGCATAGACCTTGAACGACCCTCGAAATCGCTTGTTGCCGTACAGCTTGCGGACCAGTTCGACCGGATCCCTCCACCGAAAGATCAGGTCCTGATGATCGCCCTCCTGTCGCATATTTCGCGAGTACCAGCCCTGCTCAAAGGGGGAACTAGTATCACATTCATTGGTAGGTCGAAGGCCCCATCCCATGACCTCCAGCGTAAGCTCTTCAATGCACCACAAGCATGAAGCCTTCTTCTCATACTTGTAAATTCAACATCTTTGCAACGTTTTCGTACATCAGGATTGCCATTGAGTTCCACAATGAACACGTATCAGAAGCAGAGGACAGCTCAATTACAATGCAGCTCAATTGACTCAAAGACAACAAGTGAGTGTCAAAGACACTCTAAACCAGAGCCGCTTTCAGGCACCACCTTGATGGCTCACCTTCTCATCTGGTACTAGACCGCCTAGTTCCAGCGCTGCCATTGCATTTTGAATCGCTTGTAGGCCATCTTGGAACTTGCGGTACTGTTTAGAGTTTCGAAACTCTAATTCCTCCCTGTCAAAATGTGGATGGAAAATGATTCCAAGCAGCCAATCTATGTCAGAGTTGCACAACCCTTTGCCCTGGCAAGCATTTGTCAAGAAGTCCAGCAAGGCTTTGCTAGGGTCAAATGCTTGTGGGATGGGAGCTGATGAGCAGCTTTGATCTTGGAGGGGGACGTTGCCTTCAGAGTTGCCTGCTGACATTGGTAACGGAGATTCATAGCCATCAATCGCAGACTGAAACCTCGAAGGCTGGCCAATAGATATAATGCTAGGTGCATTCCCAAAGGAGAAACCTCCCCTCTCCCGGTCCTGCAACCCTGCAGCTGGGGCGGGTCCCCATTGACCTGCAACAACACCTGCTGCCAGATTCTGAGCCCCTAAGAATGGAGCAAAACCCGGTGTACCCAATCTTGGACGCTTCGTTGGATTTTGAGACCCACAGCGAGTGCTACTGCGTCGATGATTGCTCAGCTGCTGTGCTGTTGGAAAAGCAGAGCCACACGTACAGCTAAACATGCTGTCCTTTCAAGACAAATTTTCAAAAGGACTGTCAAAACCCCAGCTCTCCTCTGCCTGCAGTGCAGTGGGGAAGCAGCGCAGCCCTTGAGAAATGTTGAAGTCCCAAACGACGAAGTCCACTTTCTGACCAGTCAGATTGAGGGTCTCTATTTAGAGCATTCAAGCCTGATCGAGCGGCCGCGGAAAGCGGTCGGGCCCGGCCGCGCTGGTGGTAGGGCGCGCGCCATTTCTTCTGATCGGCATGTCAAAAAAGGTTTCAATTTTGTATGCAGTTTTTAGTGTGTACCGTCGATGTGCTGGAAAGATTTATATCGACCGCTGTGGCTGATTCTCGCGCCAAATTTCAAATTTCTCTTGGCCCAAGTTCAGAAAGCGTTGTAGCGTACTGGCTGACTGCGCCTGCCAATGAGAGCAATGACTACGTATTGATTCTCAACTTGGAAGGTGGTTGGAGGCACTTGGCGGGCTCCTGCTCCCGTTCCTCATTGCTACTAGTACTAGTTCAAATACTTTCCCGAGATGTTTGCCCCATTAGATACGGTGTTCAGAATTTTCCTCTATCAGTTGTCCTGCATGCGCAAGCATTCTTCAAGCGCCTTTAGTCGCTAGCTTTTAACTGCAAACGGTCCTTTCTGAGCTGACGCAGTACACCATGCCTGCTACTGACAAGAGGGAGCGGAGACCTCCGGCACGAGGGGAGGATGAGGGCTATGTCTCGGCAGTGAACAAGAGGAGGAAAAAGCAAGTTTTTAACGATGATGACGATGATGATGGAGACCGCAGCCGGAGTCCCCTGCGCAGAAGATCACAAAAGGCAGCTAGCAGGCGACAGACGGAAATTGAACTGGAGGACGTTGAAGATGACAGCGACGAGTCAGGGGAAGATGACGACGACGAAGAGGAAGAGGAGGAAGGAGATGAGGAGGACGGAGAGGAGGGAAGCGAAGCTGAGGACGGTGAAGGGTCAGCGGTCAAAGGAAGTCGCCTTGCTGACAAGCTGCCTTCTCTGGAGGAGATCATGGAGGAGGCTCGGGAGAAAGGGCAGCAGCGAGAAGATGCAAGACAGGCTGGGGGGCGTCACAGCGAGAAGCAACAGAAGAAGCGCAAGGGGACAAAGTCAGGCAAGTAAATCAGGCTCTCCATGTGTTGGGGCGAAGCTAACAGGCGCTTTCTTTAAGCTGCAACATGCGAAGCACTGGAGTTTGTTTTCTCCTTCTTTTGACCTTGGTCAAACCCATCGGACGGGATCAGGCTTTGCGAGACACCTTCAAGCATTCAGCTATGTAGGTGTTGTTGTCTGACGTTCGTTGCCTCGGGGTTTCTTATAACCAAATATTTGTGAGGGCTCTTATCAAAATATTCTCAAGTCAGTGCTTTGAGCTCAGATGCTCTTTGGAATGGCCTTAAGGTTGGGAAGGTGTGTAAGCATTAGCTAAATTCTTGGAATTCTTGGTGAGAGTCGTGTTACACGACGGCAGCGGACAGAAAGCTGGGATTTGAACAATTATATCCTGAGCACTCTTTAAAAGTCGCTACTCCTCTCCTCAACTTATCCCCAGTTCCCCCTGCTCACAAGCTGCATCTCTTTGCAGGTACCTCGAAGAAACCGTCTGCCAAGCGTGGAGCTCCAGGAGCAGTGACTTCCAAGAGCCAGATTTTGCAGCTCCAAGAGAAGATCAGGCTCCAGAAGGAGCTTCTGGCCATGCAAGGCAGCCAGAATGCTGCCTCCACAGCTCTAGTGCCATTCGGCTTTTCGCCACCAGCTGCGTCTGGCTTGTCCTAGAGCTTTGCAGCCATCCAGGCGCCTCCCGGGGGGATGATGCGCCTGCTTCCGATGATCCAGGCCATGGTGACTCAAGCAATGCAAGGCGCCCTGCAAGGTGGAAGCCCAAGCTCGGTGGCAACATCCCACGCGCCACGGAACACTAGCGGAGCCACCAACAAGTACAACACCCCAAAGACGCTGGTGAGCAAATCTCTGAGAGCACTTATTGGACAATAGTTGACTGAATCCACCAAACATGTTGAACAGAAGGTCATGGTCACTTGCAGCAAATACTTTCAAAGCTTCCAACTTGGACTCTAAACGTTCTCTTCGATATGGAATCCAATCAGGCGGTGTCCAGCCTGCTTAAGGGGACCCGTGTCAGATCGCAATCAATCCAAAAACAGCTTTAGCTACCCACCGCAGCTTATACTTCTTTGTAAACAATCTTCCAGAGCTGTAGAAGTTTGCTCCCTTGTTGAAGGCGCAAACCTCACTTCCTGTTTGCATTAGCAACCTGTCCACAAGCAGCTAGGCATGTGCATTCCCTGTGCGCGCCCACTTCTTTGCAATCAGAATCTTCATACTACTTATGTTTTATGTGTTTCACACATCAAACTAGCCTGATTGCTCCACCTCTGCAGAAGACGATTGGGATGGCGGTTCACGCAGTGTTTGAGAACGGCTCTCTCGAGGGAGGCTTCTACACCACGGTGGACCCAATTGCCAAAATGGCGCGGGTCCTGCTCAAGGTGCCCGAAGACGACTACGACTGGACTGTTGGGTGGGTGGCCAATCATGGAGAACTCTGGCAGGCGGCTGCCACCAAGCAGATGCAGCAGCGCAGCGAGGTGGTCAAGAAGGTCAAACATCGACTACATCTGGTTTACAACATCCGGAAGCCGAAGTCGGACTACAATGGCTTCCTGGCTGACATCGCCCCACTGCAAGGTAAGCTTCCCCAGACTTTGTTCAAGCAGCTAGAACACTGCAATATTTCTGGAAGCCCATTAATGAAATCTGACTGTGAGACCTTTGAAAGGGTCTGCTTCTTAACGTTTGCTTGCAAGTTTTCTGCTTTCAAGTCCCACGTTATAAGCTACAGCACTGTTTTACATGTTGACCTGATAAACAGACTTTGCGACCTGTACTCGGCCTGTCTGCCCCAGGGACTCAACATTGGTGTTCGAGGTCCTATTGAAACCACGCTGAGTTTGAACTACTGCTTGACCTGCGCAGCATGGGGATACACTTATTTCTCAAGCATTAAACCCTGTGTCCTGAAGGGAGCTTATAATCAACGTACACATTACAAGTCAGCTTTGTTCTGCTTCGTAATTCTTTGCTCAATCTAAACTCTGCACTGATTGGCACTTCTTAATATCCTGCATTTTCTAAGAGGCAAGCGCTCCTTCCTGCAAGAAACGATCCCAATGAGATCTAGCAAAAGAGGAATGGGCCGCAGGTCTACGAAGTATGCAATGGAATCAACCTGATTCGATCGGCAAGATTGAATGAAGGCTTGAAGTCAAGCTGATCAACGATCTGACATTTGACATGTTCCTTACTCAGGCACCGGCTTCCGTGTGCGTAACGGTGATCCTTTGGGAGACGTCAGGCTGAAGAAGGTCATTGGCCACGTGTTCCTCGCCAACTGGAACGAGCGGGTCGACGAGTTGCACGTCTTCATTCAGCAAGCAGCTATCGTGGTTGCAGTGGTGAGTTCTCTTCGACGAAATCTTTCACTCTGATTCAAATTATGTCTGCACAGTCATTGGCACCCAGGTCTGCCTTCTCACGAAGGAGTACTTAGTGTCCCTGCTCGAGTCGTCTTTTCAAGATTAAAATCAAGATTAACAACGTCAGTTCTGAGATTCACGTGACTGATTGCAAGGGTCTTTAGAAGATAATAGAACGGAAGGCTACATGTCCCCTTAATTTCCGCTTTACTGAGCCTTTGCCTACGATTCATTCGTTAAATATTGCTTTTTCTTTCTGCCTTTGGTTGGCGGGTCTAGTTTCGCTCAAAGCACCGCTCCCGAGGCCTTTAAGAGTCCGTCGGTCAGCTTCAATCAGCTTGCAGTCATTCAGAAAAGTAGCGTCCAAATCGAATTATTGTCTCGTAATTGGTTTACATGGCCAGACCATGCGGACTGTATTTAACACGCTCGTCTCTCCCTCCTCCACAGATTGACATGGTTATCGGTAATCCTCAAGAAAACCGTGCTCCATCAGATCGACTGCCCAATGATGGCAGCATGGCGTTGCACTACGAGGCGTGCATCAAGACACTTCAGGCGGAGGTCGACGAGTTTGCCGGAGGTGCGGAGTACCCGTTCATCCGGGCTCCAGAACCCTCTTTGTTCATGAACGGAGAGGATAAGTTCGCTGCTCCTCCGAACGTCGCTCAGACCAACAGTTACGCTTCAAGTGGTAGCGTTAGGACCCCGCTTGCTTCACAGCCCGTGAACGTGGGGCAAAGCGTGGCCGGTACAAACATTCCAGGGGTACCAAGCTGCCCGGCACCGGCGCAATTTGATCCGCAGGCAGTAGCGAGAGCTGTAGCTATGCTTATGTCAGGAGCAGGAGGCAATATGAATCAGCCTAGTCTGTAATCGAGTTGTTTCGCCAGCATAGACCTGACTTTTGCGAAAACGTGGACAAGCATCATCCAGTTTGCTGGATACCATCGGCTGTTTCAGGTCTCTAACAAAACAGTCGATCCTTGTTGATACTCCGGTCGCTTGTGACAATCGATGCTTGCTTCAAGTTGGTTTCGTAAGAAGGCGACTTGCTTGACATGAAATCTCGTGTTGAATCTGAATTGGCTGCTACTTATATACGTGGTCCGAGCGACATCGGTATACGTTGTGTACGCAACCCATGCAGTAACGTTTCCGACCTACACATTCTCTGTATGGATTCCATGCAGAAGACTTCTTCACCTTGTACAGCCCCCGAGACCCTGTATGATTTCTAATATGAAACTGATATGTGTCTTATACATATATCATAGAACTACCGCTAGGAAACCGGTATAAGCAATCAGGTCTATATGGACAGCCATATCAACCCTATGTAAAGCCTTTATGGTGTGTTGTATAGGACCCATGTGCAAGTCGATAAAGGAGCTATAGCTGTACCAATGCCTGTACCGACCCTATAAAGAGCCTGTATGGTTATTTATACCGGATCTGTATGCATTTGATATCGGAGATGTATAGCTCCCAAGCCCATATGGTTTTGTATGGTTCTCAACACGGGATCTGCCCACACATGGTTTGCGTATAGGATCCAAACGGGCCTGTACGGATTTCTATAGGTTCGATATCGAGTGACCTTTTGTGATGCAAACGCATCGGAGCTCATGCATGCATGTGCTGCGCCCATCCTCATCGCCTTGAACCAAATCGGAATGCTGACGGCTCATCAGTAGGCTGTTCACTTGATTGCCACTGGAGAACAAACTGAAGTCAACGCTCGCAAACCTCCGGTAGCAATGGCAGCATCCGCGCCTTTTATAGCCTTGGGTTCCCTGTTGAGCAAATCCTTAAAGGAGGAACCGTCATTGCTGCAAACATTAGGCACAACCATTTAAGATGGCCCTTCCCAAGCTTTCTAGAAATTCTAAGTTTGATAAATAGCAGGCCTTCATTCTGATTGAACAGCTAGTTGAAGGTTTTCTTTTTAGCACTGCAACCTAAACGCCTTATTAATGCACCGTCTAGAACGCTCGGTCCAACCATGGCGCGGACCGCTGAGAGCTTTTCAATCGTTCAGCGCTTTTCAGAGGCCGGGATCGCGAAATCGCTTTCAAATGCGGGAAGGGAGCTAATATATAAAAGCACGTGACCGTACCAACTACGTCAAGAGATTAAGTGCTTCGCAAACGATCGGACTAGACAAACACGAAGCTGCCCGGGTATCCAATGTCACTTGTACATGTGTCTTTCGTCGGCGTCTTTCGATCTTGAAAAAAATGATTGGTGTGAGAAATTTCAGGGACATGGATGCGACGAAGTGTCAGAGACAGTGTCCAAATTTAAGCAGGGAAAGACGATTCTTCATCGGTATCCCAAAATCAGTCCGTCGTAAATTAGTCCGTCGTAAAATTATACAGACAAGAGCCCAATGTAAGGCTTCCGAGTTCCGTCTGTATGGCTGTCTTGATCGAAACACCGCCATCAGAGGCACGTTCACAGTGAAAGTTATCTTGGCCTGACCTTCCGGTCACCCCCTGTGGCTCTTCATAGACAACATCTGGGCCCCCCCGTCGTATGAGGAAAGCGTCACCTTCCAACACAGTTGTTATCGCGAGCTTTCTCATTGTGCCAGACTTGCAGGACGCGTCCTCCGATCGGCGCGTGTATTCATAAACGGACCGACCTGCTGACATCAACAGAAAAAGAAAGTGATTCCAAGGGGAATCTACATCAAAGTTGCTTCGGACGTACGGATAACACCAGCCTTACCCCCGGTGCAGAAGATGCGAGCTAGTCCCGAGACGTGCCGCCAGGTCGCGGCCGCGGATGCTCGCGGCCGCCGCCTCGCAGGGTGCCCGGCAGTAGGTGCAGATCCCCGCGCGAGCACGCGCCCACAAAGAGGCCGCTAAGCGCGGTCACGCGCGCACTGACCAATGCGGTTTCGCCGCGCTCTTATGTGCTGGTGTTTTCGTTCTGAATCAGTCATGTTCAAGGTAAGCCGCAGCGCCACAGATGAGGCTAAGTTTACTCAGTCATTTGACTAGAATGCAAGGCCCGCAACGGTAACAGCGCAAAGTTTCGAGAAGGCGACCGCGCTCGTTGCGGGCGGGCAGAAATAAGCGCAAAATGTGACTCTTCTCTCTGCCGCGAAAGGAATGCACTTTGCCAGTCGCTAGCGCCTCCTGAGCGCGGCTGGCCGTCGGGCTGAACGGCCGCCCGACCATCCCGCGCGCGCCTGACATGCTCTTTCCAGGCTCGTCACGATTGGGCGCGCATGAGAAGCTTGCATCCCAGCACGCTTCTTTGTTCCCAGATCCACGTCCAGTTTAAACGGAAGGCGCGTCCAGATTATAAATCCTGAAAGAGAGGCCCGACAGGCGGCGACGCCTGTCATTTAAAGGCCGCGAAGTATATCGAGTTGCAAAAATGACGTCTAAGGCCATCGCAACAAGAGATATCAGAGCAGAATGAGGGGCGGACTACGACGCCATTGATTGCAGGAAGCACGCGAGCTGTGACCACACAGGATTGTTCGATGGGAAGCACGAAATATTTGTTGAGTTGGCATCGGATGTTAGAAGTATTTGCGC